GTAGTTGTGCGTGTATTTAAATCAAAGCTAAAAGAACTTATATCTGACATTTGGAATAAATCTGTTCTTGGCAAAGCAATCGAATTTTAAAAAAGAGGTTTGCCTCATGCTCACATTTTGATAACTTTATGTGAAAATGGCAAATTGTCGGAAGGAATGATATTGATAAAATAGATCGTGCAGAGATACCGGATAAAAATTTACAATCATAATCACATGAATGTGTTGTCAAACACATGATGCACGGGCTATGCGGTGTTTTAAATCCAAGCTCTGTATGTATACAAGATGAAACATGTTCAAAACAATTTCCAAAGGATTTTGTACAATCAACGAAAGAGTCAGATAATGGTTATCCGTTATATAGACGACGCGATAATAATGTTTCCGTTGATGTTAGAGGAAAATCTTGGACATCTTTAGATGTCCATACAATCCATATTTGCTTGCAAAATGTAATTGTCACATTAATGTCGAGGTGTACACTTCCGTCAAAAGTATTAAATACATATATAAGTATTTATATAAGGGTTTTGATAGTGCAACTGTTGTAATTCAAATTGAAAACACAAACGAAAATGTACAGCAAGTACAAATTGAAGTAGATGAAGTTAGACATTTTTTGAATGGTCGATATGTGGAATCAACTGAGGCTATGTGGCGGATATATGAATTTCCTATGCATTTTCAGTCTCATATCATAATTTGTCTTGACATTCATTTGCCACAAAGACAAAACATTATATTTCGCGAAGGCCACGAACGACAAGGAGTAGAAAATCTTAAGCTTACGAGGCTATTAGCTTTCTTTCAATTAAATCAAAGTGATCCATCTGCTAATCAATATACCTACGTTTTCAGAAATTCCATTGCATTAAGTTTAGATTGATAGTAGAAAATCTTGGCATAAAAGACAACGAGGAAGAGATAAAATTATTACTCGGATGTATATGGTGTCTCCCAAAGAAATTGAGCTATTCCATTTAAGATTACTTTTGTTGCATATAAAAGGACCAAAATCATATGAAGATGTGCGTACATACAATGAAATTGTTTATAGCACATTTATCGAAGCATGTCATACTAGGGGAATTGCGTCCAACGATAATGAGTGGAGAGTTTGTCTCAATGAAGCTAAGACGTTTAATTCAGCAAAACAAATGCGTAATTTGTTTGCGAATATTTGTGCCTTAAATATTCCAGCAAATGCATTAGCACTTTGGGTGGAATTTAGAGATAATTTAAGCGAAGATTTCGTTAGAGATGATTGTAGTGTAGATGTTTCTTTCAACAGAGCATTATTGGAAATCGAGGATATTTTGTTAACACATAATGTTACATGTACGTCACTTGGTTTGCCCACACCTACAATAATGCTAGAATTTGCTGATTTCGATATTTTTGATCCGTTTGAAGAAGAATGTATATTTAATAAGCTTTATGATAGCGCAAATAATGAACAGCGTGACGCTATTGATCAAATTATTGTTGAAGTTCAGTATCTAGTTATGTCAGATTTATTAGTTCGGCGGCATTATTCATTATTGATGAATTTTCGATATGTCCGTTACAAGTGATGAAATGTATTGATACGTTGTCGAAAGACTTATGCGACGATTCACAAAAAAAAACAAATGATTTTTGTTGGAAAAACTGTATTATTATATGGAGATTTAAGACAAATATTGCCTGTTGTTCTCATGCATCACGATCAGTAATGATTGCAAATTGTATTACGAGTAGGGCAGAACTCTCGTTTTTCAATCATATAACGTTAACTCAAAATATGAGAGAGCTCTCCGAAGAGTTGGAATTCGCTCAATTTCTAAAGAGAATTGGGAATGGTGAATCTAATGTCAGACAGTTGGTGAAAATTTAGTTGAAATTTCAGCAAATTTTATAGGTGTTGAATCTAACATAGTGCTGATATTTTTGGAGATATTAATGAAACTGTTGAATGTTTATATTTTTTTTCTATGTTTAATTTGCTTTCTTTTAAAAGTAGTTAAAATAACGCGCGTGTTGCTCATTTTTTTATGGTAAATATGCAACCCAATGTTGACTTTCGTCAACCTTGCACATATACGGTACTTCAAAATATAAAAACAATATTAATTTACAGTTTTTTGGCTTCAAGATTGAACTAGCATTCTCGATCGCTCTCTTGCATTTCAAGTTCCAAATGAACAGCACGCGTTTTATTTTTGATATTCTTTCTTTATATATTTTTATTTTATTGCATTTCGAAGTGATTTTTTAAATTTCAATTTTTTAAATAAAGTGTGAATTAATTTCAATAAAATACAAACTGTTGTAATTTTTAGTTTTTTTTATAACTTCAACAAATACAAAAACTCTTGTATTTTTTATTGGCGCCCGAGCAGGGACTTGAAATCAAATAATAAATAATTTGAAAATTTTAAAAAAAAGTGAAATTTAGTGATCATTGTTCGGTGGAGCTGCAATTGGCAGCATTGTGATTTTCGTTGAGTTTAATTTTCATTTTCCACGTGTGAAATGGTTGCGGTGAATGTCAGTGTGGTGTCAAGTATCAGCACCAGACAAAAACCGCTAATAATAAAAAAAAAAAATCAACAAATTGACAAGAAGAAGCCAATTTCATCTATCTGATGAAAACACGTGCAGGCTGCTGCTATTGGTTTTTTATTGCTTAATTGTCATTGCTACTGTTGGCCGCTGCTACTGCAGTTTTCTGCTCAATTCTTATTGCTGCTGTTGGCCGCTGCTACTGCAGTTACTGCCATAATTCCACATTGCTGCTACTGGCCGCTGCTACTGCAGACTGCTACTGCATTTCGCTGCTGCTGTTCGCTGTCACTGCAGATTGATACTGCTCTTCATTGCTGCTTCTATTCACCAGTGCTGCTGTTTTCTCTTTCTGGATGGAGTGCAACTGTAACACCACTGCCGTTTGCCAGGTAAGAAAGTGCAAATAATGAAATTGTTGTACCAGGTCATGCTCTGACTAAACAAAATAGTCAAGGAAAGTATTTCAAATAACTTTGCACTGGTAATTATTTGCACTTTTAAAACACATATATTTATATTTATCTATTTCTATAATAAATTATTTGACAAACGTGAAACAAATTTACGAAGCTGAGGTTGAGCTTCATTAACAAATACGTTCGGTAAATCCAATTATTTAATACAAATAATTGAGTAATTTGCAGGGGCAAATTATATACAAAGTGAATGCATTTTTCGTTTTCGTTTTCGCCAGTTACTTGCAACCACTTTGTTGGAATTTACCCATAATCACAATATTGATTATTTATCGTTTTTTATTATTCTATAAACAAAGTGAGTGCATCTTTCGTTTCGCTAATTTCTCGCGTTTACTTTGTTGGAATTTACTTACAACCGTCGCTCAACAATATTCAAATATTCTTATCGTTCTTTGCGCTGCATTGCCTTCTCTCTTCGAAATTTTAGTAAATTCACTATGTCAACGAAAAAGCGACCACCATCCCCACAAAAAAATGAAGATTTGGATAAACTAATCCAGCAGCGAGAAACTGTAGTGGCCAGTATCTTGCGTATTAAAAAAGTAATATCGGAAAAAATTGTTGATTTAAACCCTGTAGAACTGGAATGTAGGTTGGACATTCTCAATTCATATATTAAACAGGCCATGACTTGCCAACAAAAAATAGAGTGTATCAACGAGCTTGATGTATTTCGGCCAGATCTAGAAGAAATCTGCGTTGCTTCGAAATCATTGTTTCTACAGGCGCTAGGTAAAAATCGCATGTCTAGTATCCCTGATACTTCGCATGAATGCAGCAATCATCGTTCCAGGCTGCCAAGTATGCGTTTACCTAAATTTAGCGGGAAACATTCTGAGTACAAAAACTTCATAAGCCTTTTTGAAAGCTTAGTGCACAATGATCAGTCGCTAACTGATATTGAAAAATTCAATCATCTCATTTCGTGTTTGTCTGACGAAGCTCTTGGTAAAGTTAAGGCATTTCAACTCACTGAAACTAATTACTCAAAGGCATTAGCTAGTTTAAAAAGAGTTTACGATAACACTTGTCTAATCTTTTTCGATAGTATCTCGCTGCTTTTTGAACTGCCAGAAATGAACAAGCCATCTGCTTCTGCATTACGCAATATCATAGATACTGAGTCCCTATTGTCAATAGGAGATGATAAGAACATTTCAAATGCGATTCTTATTCATTTAGTCATGTCAAGAGTCGATGCCGCCACGAAATCTAAATGGGAGGAGCAATTAGATTACAATAAGCTGCCGCTCTGGTCTGATTGCGAGACTGCGTTAAATAAGCGATACCAACACATTTCTGCTGACGAAGCTTCTACGTCAAGGTCTCGATCGAACAGGCCAAAACAAGACAACTGGCAAGGTAAGAATGTAAAATCGTCACTTATGTGCAAGAAAAACAGTTCGCAAGAGGAAAGTAGATGTTTGTTCTGTAATGCGAAGGAACATGTAATAAATTCATGCTCCGCCTTTGCTGCCCTCTCAGTTACTGAACGGTTCAATTTCATTAAATCATCTTCGGCATGCATAAATTGTCTCAAGAAAGGGCACACGGTATCTAGATGCAAGGCGTCACGCTGCAGAGTGTGTAATCGGTCGCACCATACTCTTTTACACCAATATTCTACTAACACTCCTCAAACAGGTTTATCTTATAATCCAGAACAACCTATTATTTCTCGTGCCTCTGTGAATCATAGCTCATCGAATGACGATCAAATTATTCTAGCCACTGCAGTCATAACCATTCAAGGAAAATCTGGAGATTACCAGCTGGCCAGAGCACTGCTCGATTCCGGTTCTCAAGTCAACTTTATAACCGAGGAACTTGCACAACGACTGCAACTAAAAAAAGAAGCGAAAACTCTAAACCTAATTGGCATTGGTGAAACAAACTCCACAGTACGGAAAAAATTACATGCCACTGTGAGATCACGTATTAACTCATGAGTTTTCTACTGATTTTTGGGTAATGCCTTCAATCTCCACTTACCAACCCGACAAATTTGTGCCAATGAGTAATTGGAATGTCCCTTCCAATCTTTCACTTGCTGATCCACACTTTCACAAACCGCAAAAGATAGATCTTCTACTTGGTGCCGAAAGCTTTTTCGAACTGTTGTCGATTGGACAAATAAAACAAGGTACTAATTTTCCAACGCTCCAGAAAACATTACTCGGATGGATTGTATCTGGAAGATTCAAACATGCCGAAAGCCCCAATGCTAAAATTTGCAATCTAATAAGCTCAGATAAAGAAAAGTTGACAGATGACTGTTCCTTAAACTCTCTTGTGAAAAAATTCTGGGAATTGGAAGAAATTCCCAAGGAGCTCACTGTCAAAAAATACACAATAGAACAACAACACTGTGAGACCAAGTTTCTCAACACAATTTTACGCTTACCTTCAGGGAGGCTTAAGGTGCAGCTTCCTTTCAAGTCCAACTTCAACCTTCTAGGTCAGTCATATGAAACAGCAAAAAATCGTTTTCTCTCACTGGAACGCAGGTTGTCGAAAGACTGTATGCTTCAGAAGCTGTATATGGAGTTTATGGCAGAGTATCGTGACTTAGGTCACATGACATTAACTACTGACAACTTTTCTTCGACACCTCATTACTATATACCGCATCAGTGTGTGTTGCGACCTCAGAGTACCTCGACAAAACTTCGCGTCGTGTTCGATGCTTCATGCCGAACATTTTCACAAGTGTCGTTGAACGACATTCTAATGGTTGGTCCAACGGTATAAGAAGAATTGTATTCAATCCTACTTCGCTTTCGTATGCACAAATACGCGATGACTGCTGACATTACAAAAATGTACCGTCAAATCGAAGTTGACGAGGCAGATCGCAATTTCAAGCTTATTCTCTGGAGGAAAAAACCTACGGATCAGATTAGCGTTTATAAACTGAACACAGTGACATATGGTACGTCACCTGCTCCTTTCCTAAACTACTTAAGTGACCTGTACAAGAATTCTCATTCAGTTGGAGCAAGGGTTATCCGACATGACTTCTATGTCGATGACCTATTGACTGGTGCTGACAGTCTGAAGAAACTGGAAACAATTCGTACCCAATGTACTGAAATTCTTGATTCGGCTGGACTTAAATTAGCGAAATGGTTTTCAAACCATAAAACGTATGACTCGTCAGACTTCTTTCTAAATGTTAATAATACTGATTCCACAAAGGCGCTAGGTATACACTGGATTCCCCAGAATGATACGCTTAAGTTCCATGTAGACGAAAAGTTTCATGAATTGCGAGCAACAAAAAGAAACATACTATCAGTATCAGCTCGGCTCTTCGATCCCCTCGGACTAGTATGCCCAATAGTGACTAACGCAAAAATTTTATTGCAAGAACTTTGGCTTCAGAAGCTTGACTGGGATGAGTCAATTCCTATGCATCTCGATTCTAGCTGGCAAGCATTCAAAAGTAACCTGACTCAGATGGACTCTATTTCCATTCCGCGGTATGTTCATATTCATTCAAATATAAAATGCGATATTCACGGTTTCGCCGATGCGTCAATAAGAGCGTACGGCTGTTGCATCTACGTCCGAATCCATGATTCGAATGGGATTCATTCTGAGTTGTTAACTGCCAAATCTAAGGTTGCTCCTTTAAGCACAAAATCAGTACCCAGATTAGAGCTGTGTGCCGCTCATTTATTGGCTAAACTATGGTCTCGAATTCAGCCGTTGATTACTTGCGAAATCGGTGATGTTTATTTTTGGACGGACTCTGAAATTACACTTCATTGGATTAAAACTCACCCATCCACTTAGCAACATTTGTAGCAAACAGAGTTGCAGAGATCCAAGAATGGACGAGCGAAGTTCTTTGGAGACACGTTCCATCAAAGCTAAATCCTGCAGACTTAGTCTCCAGAGGATGTAATGTAGATGAGTTGATTCACTTAATTTGGTTTCGTGGCCCATCATATTTGCTTCAAGATGCAACTAACTGGCCAAAAAATAGTCATTTTCCACTATCAATAGATGAAAAAAGTTTGGAGAAACGAAAGGTCAAGGTCGGACTTTTAGCAGTTGAAATTGAAACTAATGTCATTTCAAAACTAATCTGTAGCCAATCATCTTACCCAAGACTGCTGAGAATTTTCGCGTACATTCTACGTTTTATCACTAAAAAAAATGAGAGAGCCAACGCTCTTATTCCGACCACAAAGGAGCTTAATTGGGCATTCTTGAAAATCGTTGAATTCATTCAAAATCACGAATTCAGGGATGAGATCGAAAAAATACAGAGTCGCATAAATTGCCAGTTAGCATTCAGAAACTAACTTCGTTCATTCATACAGTCCAAGATGGTTCTCGAACATGCAATTTGCTTCGTGTAGGAGGTCGTCTACTAAACGCACCACTGTCTTATGATTCCCTTGCTGTTACCTAAAAAATTGCATTTTGTCGAGATTTATTTACGATTTCTCCATACAACCAATTGTCATGCTGGTCCAAAAGCCTTAGAAGTGCTGCTTCGTGAAAAAATTTGGGTCATAAATTCAAGCAAGGCATGCAGTAAAACCGTAAGAGCATGCATCATTGTTTTCGATACAAACCTAAGCTGTTGACCCAAGTAATGGGAAACTTACCTGCAGATCGGTTAAAGGCACTACGACCCTTTTTAATTAGCGGTGTCGATTTTTGTGGGCCTGTATACACTACTTTGAAAATTCGTGGTCGACCACCAGTTAAAATGTATATCGCAGTGTTTGTTTGTTTCACGTCAAAGGCTATACATTTAGAACTTGTAACAGATCTGACAACTAACTGTTTTATTTTTTGTCTTAAAAGGTTTGCCGGAAGACGAGGACTATCAGAAAAAATCTATTGCGACAATGCGACAAATTTTGTAGGTGCCGATCGCAAGCTGAGAGAGCTGATAGAGGCGTTTCGAGAGCACAAGGACGATCTGGCATACTATGCTGCACAAAGGGGCATAGAGTTTGTCTTCATACCACCCAGGGCACCTCATTTCGGAGGATTATGGGAAGCGGCGGTAAAGTCGGCAAAACACCACATACAACGAACAACCAACAGTGCGCTCCTTACCAGCGAAGAACTGCAAACAGTGCTCATAGAGGTAGAAGCCCTCCTAAATTCTTGTCCACTCAGTCCATTGAGTCAAGACCCAAACGACAAAGAGGCGCTAACACCAGCACACCTGTTGATAGGAGGTACTCTTTACACGCTGCCGCAAGAATCCGCGCAAGGCGTCTCCGACAACAAATTGAGCACTTTGAAACGTTGGCGTCTGTTATGCGAGCTCAAACGAAGGTTTTGGCAGGCCTGATCGAAAGATTACATCCTACAGCTGCAGCCCAAGAACAAGTGGGTGTTCAAGCAGCCGAATCTCGCAGTCGGCCGACTAGTCGTCGTCCAAGAAGACAACCTTCGCTCTCACCAGTGGAAGCTCGGAAGGGTGGAAGCCGTAATTACAGGTCGCGACAATAAGGTCAGGGTCGTTGACGTCAATACCAGCAACGGAATTCTGAGGCGTCCAGTTCACAAATTAGCGATGCTGCCGGAAAATTGAACACATAATCGTGCTTCAACGCGGCCGGTGTTGAATGTTTATATATTTTTTCTATGTTTAATTTGCTTTCTTTTAAAAGTAGTTAAAATAACGCGCGTGTTGCTCATTTTTTTATGGTAAATATGCAACCCAATGTTGACTTTCGTCAACCTTGCACATATACGGTACTTCAAAATATAAAAACAATATTAATTTACAGTTTTTTGGCTTCAAGATTGAACTAGCATTCTCGATCGCTCTCTTGCATTTTAAATTCCAAATGAACAGCACGCGTTTTATTTTTGATATTCTTTCTTTATATATTTTTATTTTATTACATTTCGAAGTGATTTTTTAAATTTCAATTTTTTAAATAAAGTGTGAATTAATTTCAATAAAATACAAACTGTTGTAATTTTTAGTTTTTTTTATAACTTCAACAAATACAAAAACTCTTGTATTTTTCAGAAACCATTTTATCATTTTTAAGGTAGCTGTCAATCAGTAAGATGTTAACCGGTAAACAAAAATGTTGATTTTAAACATTTTAAAAATGGATGGAGTAAAACTACAAATTATTTTACTGTTATTGCGAAAAAATAACTTTCGTTTCTTGGCGAACTATTTCATAAATTGTGTTCTTTCTATATTTTTTGCCGTCCAATAATTTAACTATATCTTTTCCGCAATTATTTTAATTAAACATTCTTCCTCCTCTTTCATCCAATTTTCTTTTTTCTCCATTTTTTTAGTTATTTTTGTCAACAGAGTTATTTGTAATAAAATTTAAATTCAAACTAAACTGCTTTCAAGGTGTTTACGCAATGCTTAAAACTGACGTTTCTTACTAAAAGTGATGTTAAACTACTTTACATTTGTATGAACATAATTCATAAAAACATATTACATATGTATATACACATAGCACAAAAAGTCTTCGGACACCCATAAGATTTTTCTTAAATTTCACATAACTTATTTAATTTTTAGTTAAATTGATACTTGTTTCCTAATTTATTTTAACCAAAAAAATGACAATGAATTTCAAACATAAAAAATTACAAGTTATTCTTTGAAAAAAATTATACACAATTATATGCAATACCAACAATTTTTGAAGCAAAAATAAATAATTTAAATTAAAACACAGAAATCTACGTTTAATAGCCTGTAGCATAACCTCTGCGTTTAATAACCTCTTTTAAGCGTTTTTGCATGGACTCAACCAGTTTTGCAGTATCCTGTACGTTTATTAATTGCCATTGTTGTAGTGTTTGAAGTCGCCTGGGAGCATGGTTCAGTAGCCAAATCCGTACGATCGTTGCTATATGCTTAGAGTAGTTGTCCTGCTGAAACAAAAAGTTTGCTTCAAGCCCTAACATTTTGGAATTTTCTTTCAAAGTTGTTTGAAGTATATTTAGATACCTATATTTGTCCAATGGTATCTTGTATAAATTCAAGTTTACCAGCACCGTTACTTTCCATACACTCCCAACCTATTACGCCTACACCACCATGTTTCGCCGTTGAAATCAATTTTTGTTTATCATAGGCTGTACATGATTCTCTCCACACAAATTTTCCAACTTTGATTCCAAATATGCAGAATATAATATCATTGGAGAAAATTACTTTTTTTGTGGCTGTTCGTAGACTTTTTATGCTATGTGCATATTCATAGCACTTTAAAACGTAATTCAACTAATTTTTTCCATGTTTCCGGTTTCTGGTTATAAAAGCAGAAATCATTTGATTGCGTTCATATATTTACAAACATTGATCCCTTATTGATCCAGAGTAAGTAAGCGGGGAATACTATTCGCTGACTTATAAAGTTTTTTTAATAATTTGTCTTATCTTTTTTTTTTTTTTATTTCAGAACTGTTCAATTTTTTTTAAAAAGTATTACATAAAACAAAAAAAATTTCATACTAGAAATATTTTAGTCTTAAGTTTTAAAATACTGCCAGATTATAAAAAAGAAATATAAAAATATTAAAAAACTTTTTTAGTCCACCGACTATCAAACAGTACTTTTACAATTTAATATTTGTCAACATTATTATGTAAATAAAATTACTTTAAGTGGACAATTATATTGAATAATTGAATGATTTACTAATTTAAATTTTAATTATAATAATAATAATAATAAGTTACTCAATATATAATTTATATTAGGGTTATATAATTTACACCTAATCTT